TAGTAAAAACTTAAAAAATCTTCTTTTAAAGAACCAAAGAGCTAGAGCTAAGATATTTAGCATGAAACATGTTCTAATGGGTGTCTATCAAGTTTGTTCAAATAAAAGCCCTGGGGTCAAAATTGGCCCCGCCCCGGGGGGTCATTGATTTTCCCTATATGCATATAGTAAAAACTTAAAAAATCTTCTTTTAAAGAACTCAAAGAGCTATGGCTAAGATATTGAGCATCAAACATGTTCTAATAGGTGTCTACCAAGTTTGTTCAAATAAAAGCCCTGGGGTCAAAATTGGCACCGCCCCAGGGGGTCATTGATTTTCCCTATATGCATATAGTAAAAACTTAAAAAAATCTTCTTTTAAAGAACTCAAAGAGCTATGGCTAAGATATTGAGCATCAAACATGTTCTAATAGGTGTCTACCAAGTTTGTTCAAATAAAAGCCCTAGGGTCAAAATTGGCCCCGCCCCAGGGGGTCATTGATTTTCCCTATATGCATATAGTAAAAACTAAAAAAAGCTTCTTTTAAAGAACTCAAAGAGCTATGGCTAAGATATTTAGCATCAAACATGTTCTAATAGGTGTCTACCAAGTTTGTTCAAATAAAAGCCCTGGGGTCAAAATTGGCACCGCCCCGGGGGGTCATTGATTTTCCTTATATGTGTATAGCAAAAAACTTAAAAAATCTTCTTTGAAAAAACCCAAATAGCTAGAGTTAAGATATTAAGCATGAAACATCTTTTGTGAGTGTCTACAAAGTTTGTTAAAATAAAAGACCTGGGGTTAAAATTGGCCCCGCCCCGGGGGTTATTGATTTTCTTTATATGTGTATAGCAAAAACTTAAAATCTTCTTTGAAAAAACCCAAATAGCTAGAGTTTAGATATTAAGCATGAAACATATTCTAGTAAGTGTCTACAAAGTTTGTTCAAATAAAAGCCCTGGGGTCAAAACTGGCCCGGCCCCAGGGGTGTCATTGTTTTTAACTATATGTGTATAGTAAAAACTTTAAAAAAATCTTCTTTTAAAAAGCCCAATGAGCTAGAGCTTAGATGTTTAGCATGAAACATCTTCTTATGGGTGTCTACCAAGTATGTGCAAATAAAAGCCCTTGGGTTAAATTGGCCCTGCAACATTGGGGGGTTGGGGGGGCCTATATACAGGTGAGCGACCTCAGGGCCATCATGGCCCTCTTGTTATAGTATTATAGCAATTTGAACTTGTAACGGGAGACTTTTCAATGAAAACAGCCATTTTTCACAAAATGCTCATGAAGTAATGGGTTAAATGCAGTATAAAATATTTTGGTAAACAGATTTTTTTACAATAAAAATATAGCTTGGTAACTCAAATTTTTGAATTAAAGACCTGTGGGTTTTTTTTCTGCTTTTTTCAGTGCCTTTAAAAAAAATGTCAAACTACAATTATCTATCTAGAATACAAATGGTCACTTTTTGTATGTTTTTTTTTCCCTCATTTCCACGCTGATAATGTCACTGCATGATCTAATCATTGTAAGTAATTACCAACAAGTACTCTTAACATTTTTAGCTGAACAAACTGATAATTTTAGCCAATCGATTTTCTCTCGTCAACCCGCTGGGTAATTTTTGGACACAGACTTTGTCCTTTAGTACAAAACATTGTCTACAGTAATTATGCGAAGAAGATTTCCGTAAGTTCCTTGTCAATTTTTTTTATTGAATCCTTATCTCAGAAGATTTGGTTGTCTCCTACCAGTCAATACGGTCATGTAATGGGTTCCAACTGCGTTTGACATGTCAACAAGAAATATCTTGACTTACTCGACAAAAAGGTTGTTGTTCTTCATTAATATTGAACAAGTTGTTCTATTAGATTGTCTATTTTTAGATGTTAATTTTTTTCTTCTCTTGTTGATTCTTCAGTTTACTAAAGCAAGAATTTCGAAATGAGATTTTATTTTTCTGCTTTAAAAAATTTACAATTTAAACTTTTATAAATGATCTATATTTAGAATTGAGACATTGAACTTGTGGATTTCTGATTAGACGAAATAAAAATTTAAACATGATCTTGGTCATAATCAAATTAAGTGATTTGGATGTTTATAAAAAATAGAAAAAATGGGAAATTTTAACATTTGACTGAAATTCAATGACTGAAACGATTTTAAAATTTTCACAGGAAAGGCGGAGGATTTTTTTTTGACCCTATGGCCTGCATGTGGCAAAAAATTCTACTTCTGCCTACCGGTGCAGACCAAGATCAGTTATGTCAGATTTAAACATGGACAAGTCAATTTAAAATATTTAGCGAGGTAAAGGTTACTTGATAAAAAAACAATCAGTTCCTTATGATTATAAATCAGCCTATATTAATGTCTTCTCCTACACTAAAATAAGTTAAGACATTATTTTGACATTTAAGAAGAAGATGATGAGTGGGGGGTTTTTAGGGGGGGGGGGGATTAAAACTGGTATAATGACAGCGGAGATATATTGATTTAACAATTAGCCCAATGATCTCAGTTAGTGATCGTTAGTGATCAGTATGTAACAAGTTAAAAAGATGCTGGCAAACAGCTTATAATGAGAGAGTGGTATTGGATTCCCCACATTTATGTAAAATAATGCAAAATAATCCAATATTACCATGTGATATTTTTATATTAACTGTCTACAGGCTCGTTCATCATAGAGCTCTTGAAAGCTGGAAATAATTGTTTCTCCCTGAAGGCATTTTTTTTTTCTTGATATAATTTGTCATCCCCTCCCATATCTTGAAATTTTATGTGAAAATCTTTTATATATACTCCGCTTATAACTTATAACGATATTCAGGGGACTGTAGAATTCATAGCATTTTATCCCAGATATCCTCATATCCTAGAGGCAACCAATTTGGAAAAAAGAGAGTTAGGGCCATGTCAACAGCATAGATATAAGCGATTTATCGTTATGAACGATATTGTCTCCCTTTTGAAATATTGCAAGAAATTATATTGCATAATAGGTTAAGAGATTTCAGTAAGAAATATAAAAGTTGATTTACCAATTACATCAAGACTGCATCAGGATTGGCTGGCTTAGCTAAAGTTAATCATGTTTGGTTCCGGCAGTATAAAGGTTAAAACAAAGCTACTGAAATTCTGTCAAAGAGGCACTAACTCTAACAATGTACAAAATTTTTCTTGAATAAAAATTAAAAAACATTCAGTAAAAAAAATCTTTCAGGATGAGCAAATAAGGTTTAGCAATATCAAACTTTAACCCTGAATCTGCTGAATTTCTTAAATTGACTTGTCCATCTTCCATTTTTGGAATTGTCACTAACCAATTTTGAGGGTTATCAAGAAAAGTTACTGTCCATTACAATTTTGTGCAAAAAAGAAAATTTTGAAGCTGAATGCTAAACATGGCCTTAAGGTGTAGAAAATGAATCAATTTGAGAAATGTATTAATTTTATATTTAAAAAAAACCATCAGTGAACTCTTAACATTTTAGCTTACTTTTTAATGACAAAAAAGGCAATATTATAGTTGAAAATATATATTCATTTTATTATTAAATCTTTATTTAACATAAAGCATTTTGTGTAATTTTGAAATGATTTATTTACCAATTTAGAAAAATGTTTTTCCCTTTATATTATTGAAATTAAAAATAATAAAAAATAATATGTAATTATGTAAAAATAAATATGTAACAAAAACATATTTTTTTTATCATCAGCATCATAAGCAGCAGAAGTTTTCAAAATGATTAAAAAAAACAAAAACAACAACATTGTAAAGATTATTTTTTAATCATACAAAGCTAGTACGTTCAAGCAATTTTTTTCTAAAAATAATTTTGCATTTAAAATTGTCTGTCTCTTCTAGGACTGATATTTGCGATACAGTGATCGTTGTCATATCATGGTTTCCTTCGCAATTAAGATTCTCCGGTCACAGTGCAGTTTCAGATCTGTATTGATCGGGACTCCCGACTGCCAAATGCGTTTTCTTCATTTGCCAATAGAAAATATCGAGAACTGTTTGACAATTTATCATGTTTTATAACTAGATAGTTAAATACAAAAATTGTATCTATAGATGATTGATTTCATAAAATGAGTAGGCTTTTTGAAGTTGGTAATAAGATTGCCTTGACAGAAAACTAGAATCAATATTGATTGGACGGGGGGAATTATGTGCCGGACTGGATAGCTTCAGTGCCGTAATTTGTCATACCATACCGTTTGGTGTTAACTATATATTTGGAATTATATAGGAAGAAAATTGTGTAAAAACCAATAATGTATTGATAAACATTCATGGAATGGGAAAGGAATTTGAATATATACTATATCTATAGATTTATGATACTTGGAATATAATGGTGCTGGCTCTATTATCAGTATCTTAGGAAAATTTGTCGCAAAAAATTTAACGGGGGAGAATTTAACAGAAAAAATCGGTGTAGACATATATACAAGGGTTTCATTTCACTAATGGTTTAAATTGAGGAGATATGAAGTTGCTAATGAGTTATAATATGTACATTAGCAAGCAACTACATCTGATTTATAGGCATATTAACAGAAAAATTAAAATCCATATATCCATTTTGGATTTGAGATTATTTTAAATGTCGATATTTGAGTTGAATTATCAATTATTTTAAGATGATTAGAGTGCATGTAACTTGTGTTAAAAATAAGGACGTAAACAGATGGACCCAAGACCTGTTTAGGAGGATTTTATTTTTTTTGAAATTCTGAAGAAAAGTAGTGTACTTTGTATTTCAAGATGTGATTTTTAAATAGTTTTGATAAAAAGTAAATAGACAGCAATGCAGAAGCTTGTTCAGTATCTAACACCTAGTTTCAAAAGTAATGGCTGTAATGTTGTGAAGCTTTCCAAGCGTGAGCGGAAACGTGGCCGAGACAAAAGCCGGGACCGGAAGAAAACTGGTGCAGCAAGTACGCATACAGAACGTCATGACGAGGATTATAGTTTTTCTGATTATTTTCATTCCAGGCATGCCGAGGATCTTATAGTTACACCATTTGCTCAAGTATTAGCAAGTTTACGCAGTGTACGCAATAACTACATCACTTTAACCAATGTACAGGCCTCCAGAGAAAGGTACGTACCCCACCCACTTTTTTCTTACCTTATTTCAGTATCAAATAGGATTTCCGTCATCTTATATCTGACAATGTAAAGTATATGAAATAGTGTACAGTGTAAGATATATATACTATCGGGCTTTGGTTAAAATTTCAGACCAACAGATTACTATCCGGACCCTTCATCCATACCCTCATATAATTGACCCCATTAGATTAATGTCATAACCTCAGACTTGGGTACCAAATAAAGCGACAATCACCAATTTAACAGATTCACTATGGGCACAAAAATTTGTGCAATTTTTTCCTTAACAAATGACTACATGGAAAAACATGAAAGAATCCAAAGTCTCCTGCAGGATTCGAACCCACAGCAATGAGGTGCAAGTGGTTTGAAGTCAAGGACCGTAATTTCTCGGCCACAGATGCCCCTTATTTTCGAACACTTCATTATCAGTTATAAATTGAGATAATAATCTTGTTAGTGTTGTAAGTTAGTAAAGCCTGGTCATACTGTATGAATGTGCCGGCTGATCAGTTGCTTTATACTGTCATGGCAAAAGCTAATCATCTTTGGTTCCCATAACGTTGGCATCAAAGATTATCTTTTTGAGCAGTACTTGTCTCCCGACCAGCAGTATTATTTTATCAGTATATTCTATACCAACAATATTCCATACCAGCAATATTTAATACCAGCAATATTATTACAGTAAAGGCCCCAAGTTAGGCACCAGATGTCACAAGGTGGGGGAAATGTGCAGTCTGACGGGGACATAAACCGATGACCTCTGAAATACTTTAACTATCTGGCTGCCTGCATGTTCTCTTTCCTACGTAAAAGTTTTATACCATAGCCATTATATATAATTTAATTTCAATAATTTACTTTCTTGTATCTTGGCTTGCTGCTTTCTCTTCTACGACTTCTAGAAAATTTGCGTCATATTTGATTCCCTTTGGCCATTTAACTTCATCATATCTTTTAAGTTACAGCGGCTGTTCTCTTGAATTGCCTAATAAATACTCAATACTTAAAATATATGATTTAATAATACAATAAATAATTTTCCATATTTTGTTATTGTGAAAATAATTGTATATACAGGAAATTCAATTCAGTTTTGCACATCTTATTAAATACTCTTATGAATCATTGTGTATAGTAACCCTAATAATGTACAAGTTGATATTTATTAAGCTTTTGCCACAACTGATACAGGACTAGTCCAGTCTGTTCTGATCCATGCAGTCTGACCAGGTTCTATACTGCTTGCTGACTAACTTTTAAGTTTTCATTTTGAATTCCAAAAGTTAATAACTGACAGTCCTTTAAATGGAAGCTCAGGACAAGTCTTATTTATGAAATTCACAAGTTAAAGGATAAGCTTGCATTCTTTATAACTTGAATTGTTTAGACAATGATTGTATAATAAGGTATTGCCAAGATTTGACAACAGACCATCTATCTCTCTTGTATGGAATAATTCTTGGCAGAGTTCATACCCCCCAAAATTAGGGGAAAGTAATCTTAGTTTTAGTGACTTTAACAACTTATGGCAACAGAGCAGTTGAGCACCTAGGACACCAACCCCATCCCAGAAATCCTTACTGGGGGAGGTATTAACTGATATGTTTGATCTGAAATCAGTCCTCTTATATTCAATGACATTGTTCAAACTTGGGGGACAATCTTTAGTTTGGAAATATTTTTTGTGGTGGAAGGAACTATTTACAAGGTGAAATATGTGGAAACAGTTCTGTCATGAAGCTTGCTATAATATATATCCTGGATATTTAAATTAGCCTTGTTTGTCTGAATGTCTAGGCTAACAGTTTCTGGACTGAAAATAAGAAATGGTGTAAATCAATAAGTGAACAATACTTTCTTGAGAATATATTAGTGGTCTGATACCACTATAGTGTTTCCATGTCTTTCCTTCCTGACCATTGTCTACATCCTGTGCTGTGATTATTTTGGATACTTTCTTCTTGATCTATGTACATAATGAAGATGTATAAGTATTTGTATATTACCATGGGCATGATGGTCACGATTATTTAAGATTTCCCCCTTTTTGCAGACATTGACATCCTACTATATGTAGCACCAAAGATGAACTATAAGTACCTCCTAGGTGTTCTAACCAGCAATCAAAACAGTGGAATAAGAAATAATGAGAGAGAGGACTTTCGTCACCTAACTGCAATAAGGGGTTAACTCCTAAAATAATTGAATGAGAGTCAACCTGTGACCATATATGATGGGTCAAACCCACAAGGTCCTGATGAGGGGTTATTGTGTTTCTTGCATTCCTACACCACTCTCGTCCTCAATGACTGATACCTAGAGCAATCGTACCTTACCTTAACAGTCACCTTGTGAGTCAACTGTGGCATCCATAAGGTTGATTAAGTATGAATATATAAACATAATTTAGAGTTTTATACACTTACCGTACTTATATACTGAATAACAGTGCATATTTTACCCTTTATTGGTCATTTTTTCCCCATTCCTATAAAACCAAAATGATTAACATTGTACATTTATGCACAAATTAATGCAACTTAATTAATACATGCATTGTTTTATAGATGTCCTGGTAGCTGTCAATCATTCTCAATAACTGATTATGACAAAGTGTGTTTATACTAGAGAAATATATGTAATTATATACAAAAAGTGGTTAATACTGATATAATGGTATGATACATTATGTAATAAAAATTAATTACATGATAATTGTATAGTAAACATGACAAATTGTATGTAATTCAAAATGATGTATTACGATTATTCATTGGTGATTTCAGAATAATGTATTACTATTATTCATTGATTGATTGATCATGATAAAGATTTTCCAAGTTTTGTACTTCACAAATGATAAAGATGATGATGTAGCTATTTTATACTTAAAGGTTTTCAGCAGTAAATTTCTATGATCCTTTAATTATCTAGTATTGATTTTGTCTGCAATGTAACTGGAGAAATTTATATATATGATATATATATAATATATATATATATATATTATATATATATATATATATATATATATATATATACTAACAGAAAAAATAACACAAAAATTGGCATGCAGCAGCCAGGACTCAAACCACTACAAAATCACAAACAAAGCATAATGCCCGCTGTGGTGTAGTGGTAAGCATACTTGACCAGCAATCCAGAGACCCATGGTTCCAGTCCTGACTAAGGGCACAGTGCTGATTTTTCAAGATGTATATAGGGCCCCTCATCAAACTGTATTTATCTTCCTTTCAGATTCTGTAGTTTTTCCTGTGCAATTGCTCATTCTAGAACAACTCTACAGCAAATTTTGAATTTTGACAAAATGTCCTCAAAACATTTAGGAAAAATAATGACCTTATATGTAGCATATAAAATAAAGTCTAGCTAGGATAGTAACTTATTACTGAGCTATGAATTATGAATGACATACTGGTGTGACTTTAAAACCTAACAAAAAATAATTAATGATTTGTCTAGCTAATGCTGCTGCCCAAATTGCATAATCTATGCAACAATTATGTGATATGCAAGCCTACTGATCTTTGCAACAAATCAGGCTGTATATTTAATGCTGCTTTACCTTGAAATCTTGACTAAGACTGTATACCTTATACTGCTTCACCTTGCAATTTAACAGACTGTGTACTTAAACTGCTTAC